GTTATTAGTTATTGTTGTTAATTTATTACTGTGCCTAATTTATAAATTAAACTTTATCACAGATGTGTATATATATGAAAGACATTGTACCATGCAGGGTTTCAGGGATCCCCTGGGATCTAGAAATGTATCCCTGTAGATAGGAGGGTACAACTGTACTCTCCTTCCAAAACCTCTCTTTTACAGATTTCAGTACCCCAGAAAACTGTCTACGGCCATACCACCCTGAACATGCCTGATCTCATCAGTACCCCAGAAAACTATAAAGATAGGCTTGTATAAATCACTCAATTTTTTCCTTGTTAGTACCTTTACATGGAGTTGATAGAGGAAACTGAAACTGTTCATTTGAACCCTTTTAGAAAAGCCAGTGTTAACGATTATCATAATAAAGAACTGATAGTATGGCATCTATTACTCCTCTTGACTTTTAACTTATATATGTTTTCTTACTATTTCAAGATACATTTGTCTAATTCTTTTTCTGTTGTCATCACTTGTATTTGTGTTTCTGAAGTCATATTGACTAAAATATCAGACTGCTTATTAAGTTAATCTTTTATTTTCATCAACAGTTCCTGGCTGCACAATACACTGGCAACATTTGTGATTCTGCCCTTTTTCCTCAGGTGCTCATGGTCCCGTTATTCTTTAAATGGGAAGCAAATGCTGTACAATTAGAGATTACCAAAGAATCAGGAGGGATACCATACCATGTAAAATAGCTTTTCAGTAGCGTCCTTGGTATTTGACTTTTTTCCTCTGCTTGCAATTACCTCTCAGCATTACAGGATCAGGTTTTCAGTTCACACTGAGCTCAACAGAGTTGTGCTGCAGTGAAAGACACAGCTACAGTGGAATTAGAGATTAGCACTGTCTACTGCCAGTGGCACCCATTTTAAAGCCTAATTTTGGAGATCCTGATTTGCCAGGTAGAAACATATCAAAAAGGAATAACTGCACCCTTCTTTCCCCTCAGCCTCCATAGGCAACTAAATTCTCTCTTCTAATTATCTTTCATTTCCTTCTATTTCTCTTCGTCTCCGCTACCCATCATTTTCCTCAGCTATAGACTTTTGATAGCTGTGCCCTGCCTTACACTTGTCTCCCTTCAATCTAGTCTCCAGCAACAGTAATCTTAGAAAATATGAATGTAATCAAGTTAGTGCCCTATCTAGTTCTCCTATGGCTATGCTAGATCTTCAAAATAAAGTCCAAATTTAATAACAAGGTCCTAAGAAGGTCCTTCATGATTTGCATCTGCCTACCTCTCAGTCTCCTTTCTCAATATACACCAGCTTGACAAATTTTATTCAGCTCCTCAATATCTCTCTCTCCTCCTTAAGCTTTCTCCACTTATCACACTTGTTTATTAGCCTTCCCCACTGACTGTAAGTTCTATGGGAACAGGCACCATATCTGTTATTCTTCATTTTATTCAAAGAACCTAGCACAGTGCCTAGCACTTAGTAGACATTTATATATATTTACCAAATAATAAATGGCCAGAAACTGAAAGTGGTAAGTCTAAGTTTCTCAACCATATTTATTGATTGAGAAATCAACCAATGATTCTAAGGGGAGCAGAGAAAGACACACTTGATTTCCTTAAGAGCTTTTCCAAAACACATGCAAGCCAAGAACAGATTCAAAATAAAGTCTTTAGATATGTGAATATTATTCTTAGACTCTTGAGTGGGAAAAGTTTATCAAATGTATAGCTGTATCCTGGTTAGTGCATTAACATGATTTCACTAGAGACATAGTATTTGACAATGCTTTCTTTTGGCTGTATCTCTATACTTCACTCCCAGAGATGGATAAAAATACTAGTCAAGTTTCTTAATTTGCAAAAGCAATAGATTATTATACTATTTAGCACTGCCTAAACCTATGCTAAATACTTTAAAAAAAAAAAGTATTTTTTTCTTTCTTATTTAAAATAAAATACTTTATTTTAAAATAAAGTATTTCTATGCTAAATACTTTAAAAAATTCAATTCTCACAACAAAACTCTAAGGTAGAAGTATTACTAATATTTCCATTTTACTGATGAATAACCTAAGGTACAGAATTCGAACTCAAATCTGACTCCAGAGGTGGTGCTCTTAAGCACAATAAAATCAACTTGGTAATGTATATGTCTGATCTATAATATACATAATAATTCTAGAAAGACGAGGAGATCATATTGAGACTCCACGATTCAGTTCCTATTAAAAGCACATTTGAAATAACAAATATCTGAGGATATTTCTGTAGGTCAGAATGACAAGAGGTTTCATCTGGCACATCAACTGGAACCACCTTAGTGGTGCCACATTGAGAGTGATTCTCAGTTCCATGGAAAAGAGTGTAGTGATAGTACAAACTTCCAGTTATAAAATAAATAAGTCTTGAGGATGTAATGTATAACATGGTGAATATGTCAATAATATTGTAGAGCATATCTAAAAGTTGCCAAGTGAGTAAATATTAAAGGTTCTCATCACAAGAAAAAAAACTGTAACTTTGTGTGATGACAGATGGCAGCTTGAGTTATTGTGATTATCTCACAGTTATAAATATTAAACCATTACATTGTACACCTGCAACTAATAGATATTTGTCAGTTATACTTCAATTAAAAAAAAAAAAAGAGTATAGTGATAGATGGATAAATGTCATAGGCCCAAAATGGCTCATTTTTGGTTATTACTGATTCTGCTTCTGAATATCCTAAATCTTTATCACATTTTATTATCACATAACTATCTATTTATTATGAAAATGTCTTTCCTGAGAAACTATTTAATGATATGCCTTTAGTATATGTTGAGGATAATTTTTTAAATTGCCATATAAAGTCTTTATATCTCCTGCAAAGCCAATGCTTGAAACTTTTTCCAACAAGCTGTTTAATGACCACTGCACAAAGAACCTCAAGGCAAAATCTCATATTTTTGTACTACTGAGAAGGTTTTTATTCTCTTGAGCTCTTCCCTATATCAGACAATGAGAATGATAGAATACATTGTTTCCCCTTCTTCTTTAATTCAGAATCAAATATAGTATTTAATTATTATATTATAATAATCACATTAGCTTAAATTTTAAGCACTTTTATTTCCTATTAGTTTTAAATCATGATTTAACTAATCAAATTATACAAGTATCATATTATTACTTTTCAAATTCTGAAAGTGGGTAGGATATAAATTATAAATTAATCCATTATTTGGGGTTGGAGCAAGATTCAGATGTGATCTCACTTACGCTACTAGTAAATTTTTCATGACAGTCAAACTTGTTTAATGTCCATCATATCAGGTTAATTAATGTAAAATATATTCAGAAAGTCAATGAAAATGGTGTAAAATTTTTTGTTTTACCTATGTATTACTAGAATTCTAGTACATAAAATTGATCACCTACTGACTAATACAATGAAGCCAGATATAGTCTCTATAGGCAGAGAGTTTTAAAGAGATAATAGGAGATGAGCCGAGTTGAAATATCTCTTTAAAAACATATGAAGAAATAGGACACAAAGTACTGGAGTGATGAGCCAGCAATCAAACTCATTTGCCCTTTGATAGTCCAAAAAGATCCCATGAGCCACCTGTGGGAATCCCATACAGTAAGGAGAAGTTAAGTTTTTATGGTAATAATAGTACAGAAGTAGTAGGAAAGCTTTCTAATAGTGCCTTAATTGTTGTAGATTTCCCTGAACACTGAGCAAGACACTTGCTGTGCAACATACAACACTTAGAAACATGTAAATATATACAGATACATACACAATCCAGCCTGTGTTATGTAAATTAAACATAACTTGCTCAATTAACTTTCTAATGATATGAATAGGGATCATAAAATGTTTTACAATTCAGGCTTCCCTGCCTTTGAGTCTCTTACTCTAGAGTTTATAGAACTATTCAAGTACTTTTATTACATATGACTGAAAGTTCCATAGACTACAAAGTTCTATAAAAATATTTGGTTATATAATTTAAACTACTTCTAAAATTTAATGGTGAGAAAAACATGAGAACTTATAAAATTTAATCAAGAACTGATTTTTAAAATTCAAATCAAGAAAGAATAAAATCTAGAGCACAGATTCAGTAGATTCAATATATATTAAGAAAAATGCAAATCTGGTGAAACATAGCAGAAAATTGTTCAAGTAGAAATATGTGGATAAAAAAAATCAAAAAATTTTAAAAGGTTCTAAATTTAAATGGATTGAAATAACATTTATCATCTCAATTACTTTAAACCAGCACTTAAGAGACTCAAATCTTTCCGTATTTCTAAAATACACATAAAAGATTAAAATTTAAGAGGTCTGAGAAGACAGAACATAATAGCTATCTTAAGTATATAGAAAAAGAAAAAAAAAAAAAACAGAAAAATAAGGAACTGCTTTAAACTAAAATATCCAGAAAACTGAAGGGAATATTTAAAAATACTTGTCCTTGAAATTATTGTTTCCATCTGAATGTTTTTTATAAGCACAAATAAAATATACCATTATAAAAGTTAGGGTCATGTTTATTTGACCAATTAATCAGAAAGTACATTCTGAATACTCAGGATAAAAAAAGTTAGATATCTACTTAACTGACGTAAGTCTGAAGGACACAAAATCAATGAAAGGGAAAAGATATAAAAATGTTCTATTATTTAAAGCATTAAAAAAGATTGAAGTTATTATTGGAAATCAAGTTTAACAAATATTTCTAGTAATACAGTTTGTTTTTATATCCTGTTGTATAACTTTTGTAAATACTATGGCATATACTTGCAAAAATAAACAAAAGCTAAATCTTAGTATCCTTGCTGGTCTCTCTAGACCATGTTAATTTTGCTTTTTGGTTAAATACAAAGGAATAGAATTATGGAGAGTTCAGCAACAAGTTTTTCATTAGGATATGAAATCATGCCATGAGCTCCAAAAAAAGGGTTAGTTGTATAAATCTGGGAAATAATCACTCATGCAAAAATCAGAAAATACCTGTACCGAGCCACCATGTCTGTCTGCTGCAAGGTGAGCTCTCAAATGGTGGGGATTTGCCTGCTGGGAGTCCCAAGCTGCCCTGTGGTCTGCCGACTGCCATTTATTTAATGCATGTGGCATGCATGGAAGAAGAAAAACCCAATATGTTAAACATCTCATCCTTACAATATAGAAAACAAATGTATAAAAGGAAATTTAAAATACCCTTACTATTCTTAATCACAGATACAATGATTTTTGTAGACTGAATGTGGAAAGATTTTAATTAAATTGCTACAATTATGAAATGATCAACCATAAAAATAAATTAGAAGCATAGAATTTTAGAAGTGAAAGGACTTTAAATATCATAGACTCCACTCTAATTTTATAAATGAAGTTAACAAAGAACTAGAGAGGTAAACATGACATGCCCAAGAAAGCACTCCAAATAAATCATGAACGAACTAAAAGGCCATCCACTATATTTTCTTACAGTAGAGGTCCCCCCAAGGGTTTTCTGATGAGAAACAACTTCTTGCAAGGTTTAAATAAAAAAGTCTTTAAATAGCTGTCCTTAGGATCCTAGAAATTTTTTTCTGTTGGTTAGTAGTACCCTGTTTCTGATTGTGAGGATGAGAAAATGGAAAAGTTCTTTGAAAAGTGAGAAGTGTTATATAGAAAGAATACTGTAAGAATATGGCAGTTTTTTAAAAGTAATAATCCTACATATATGATTTACTTTGCTTCCCTGATCTCTTTAGATCCGGTTCAAATTAAGGAACCCATTTCCCTGAAATAGGCTGATAATTCTTGATGTTTTTAGATGACTTGGCAAATTTGCAAGGCAATAACCACAAACTAATGATAATCAGGCTAGCAGAATTAGAAGTAGTTGCTTATTATGGGTCAATTTCTATGTTTCAGGAAAATGTGGACAGCCCTAATAAAAGGGAGGGGAAGGAATACAATATTTAAGTTTCTATGACACGTCTAGTTCTGCATTAGCTGCTTTATATGTGTCATCTCATTTTGAGGTAGATATTATGATCCTCATTTTACTAATGAAGACATCGAGATGTTAAACACTTCCCTAAAATCACAGAGGTAGGAAGGAGTATAGCAGAGATTCAAACTCAGAGCCTACTGCTCCTCCAATAACATTATTTAGCTTCTTACCACAATTACATATGTTCTAAAGCCTTCAGTACTCTTTTCTTTCTTTCTTTTTCAACCAAGGTCAAGAAAATCTTGCCATGAAGTGCCTAGCACATTGGGTTATAGGGAGCCTAAGCAGATCAGTGGCCAGACCAACTCTTTGGATGAAGAAATATTAAATTCAAGTAGACACAACGAATAAAAGTTCCAACACTAATCTTCCTAAATTAAATTGTACAATGCAAAATTAAATACTCTGTGGCATGAACTATGTCATCAAAACAATTATAATGGTTTTATATCTTTTCATTAAAACCTCCAAATTCATCACCCGAATTTAGCAGATTTGTAGCTTAAATGGAAATAAATTAGATGAGATCAAATCTAAACAAGATGAAAGAATGAAAATGATGCTAAACTTGAGACAGATGCCTAAATGTTGCCTAGGACAATAAGCAAAATTTGTGGGTCATGGACCTCTTTAAGAAGACAGTAAAAGCTATGATAGTAAAAGCTATGCAACCTCTCTTCAGAATAAACATTTACATGCAACCAGAACTTTCTATATAATATCAGGATCTACTGAACTTCAACTACTAACTCTAGGTTACAAATTGTTTACCTGGGATATAACGAAGGTTTTAGTCATTCAAAGAATTAATTTATCTTCTTTTGGGATTGCAAACTGTGGATTTCTCATATGACTTAAAACTGTTTACTGTTTCACAGATATTTAAGAAATTTTTCTAGATATATTACATTTCAATCATGATATGACAGTCTGCATATACAGGTTTCAAATTCGACCATATCCAAGTTTCAAATTTGACATATTCAACAAATTCAAGCTATCCTAAAGGATTTCCTGGAAAAAAAATGACTCCCTACATTTAGTGCAAGGATTACACAAATAAAATATGGTTCCCACCCTCAGTGAGCTCACAGTCTAGACAGTAAGACACATCTGAAATATGTAGAAAGTTAAACTCTAAAATATTTAAATTATAATTTAATTCAAACAATACAAGAAGAGTTTCACCTATTATAATACCTAAGAGGTCAAGTGGAGATCTTTGGAGAACATGAATTTACTGATCTTCTTCCAAAATACATTTAAGAAATTCACTCTGATTTATAAAACACAAACTCTGAGTCTTGACTTCTGAGCCATTTCTTTCTATATACAGTATCTTATCAGAGTACTCAAGCTATCAACTAGTTGCAATTTATAATTGAAGTAATTCATATATAAGACCCTTTACTGTTCCAACTTTCCTAAGGCAAAATTCTAAAACTAATCTTCTTAAATTGACTATACTTTGAAGCATAATACTGTTAAATATTCCCTAAAGGTAGCATTTTATTTTGCAATGATTTTTTAATAAGTTGTGTTCACTCCTTTGATTTCCATCTCTTGTTCAACCCTCATTTGAACTCTGATGAGATGAAAGATGTAAAAGTAAAAAAGGATAAAGCACTATCCTTCTCTGAAAAGGGTTATAACCCCAAATTCTAAACATTATTTAACTAAAGGTGATAGTAAATATTTTTTGTCAAAGATGGCTTCAATATGGCTTCAATAATGGCTTACAAAAAAAAGAGAAAAGTGAAAACACTGCTCAAAAATTTCAACAGCCTTCAAGTACCTTACTCAAGAAATAGAACTCTTCAATCTTAATCTTCTATATCTTGTCTTGAACCTACTCTCTCCTCCCAGAAAACTGAACTGCTTACTAGTACCTCAAACAATTTCTATATTTTTAAACTTCTGCTGCATATTTTATACTGTTCACTCTCCCCCAAATGTCTTTATTCTTTCATCTGCCTTTAAAACCTCCATTTACTCTTCAGGCTCACCTCAAAAACCACCTTCTGCATAAAATATTTATAGTTCCCACATATTCATATTCCAATGACCATCCATGGGACTTTATTGATATGCTTCATGCAATAGGGCTTATTCAACTATGTAATATAGTGATTTGTGAATTTATTGTCATAATCATGATAACAGTAACACCAGTCACTAGAGTTGAGATATTCTGAAGGCTTATCATATGCTAGGAATGAACATACACTACTTCTATTTTATAGATGAGAGAACTGAGGCTTTGAGAGACTGAGTTATTTGCCCAGGGTCAAGCCATATCCAGGTATGAATGATTCCAGAGACAAAGTGAGCTCTTAGCCACTCATTACAAATCATTTCTTATAGGTTATATTATTTCTCTTCTGTGTTTCTGCAACATGTAAAAGAATAGCTTTCAAATACCAGAAACTCAGCAAATAATTTATTGAACTAAACTATACTACAGTTAGAAAGATCGGCTGCTTTACAATTCATTAAAACAGTGTATTCAAATACTTCTAAAAGAATGTCAAATATTGCTTAAAACTTATACTAATTTATCCCACTAAATTATGAATTTATAATTAAACTAATAGTGAATATTAGGGAAAATATGTATTTTCAATTCTTAGTGTGTATATATCATGTTTTATCTACTGAAGAAAAATTATGTATTTCAATCCCTCAATATGTATATATATGTGTATGTATACACACATATACATGCATACACACACACACACACATAAAGCTGTCATCTGAGTATGGTAAAACACCAAACATATTTATAAACTGTCAGAAGGTAATACAGAAGAAAATTAAAACATTTCATATCTAAAAGGGCAGCAAACCTGGTTTTTGGATTGTTGCATCTTATCTCTGTGTTGATGTGCTTCCCTGTTTGATGACAGAGCAGGATCTTGCTGAACTGCCCCCACTGGAGTCGGCTACAATACAATAACGATTAGCATCAATATATTTCTAGTTCAGAAGTCATTTAAAAATCACTTAGCTGCTTAAAAGAATCAAGGGAATATTAAAAGACACTGGAATAATGTAAGGCCTTAAGAAAAGACATCATTCTCAAAACATGTTAAAGATAAGTTGAAGCAAAGAGAATACAGCTACTAACTGTTTTAAAAATATTTAAATGTTTTGTCAAGTATTTATATTTATATCAACAAAAGACTTTCTAAAGCTGTCGTTACTTTTAGGATACTTTTTCATATCAAAATTGAAACTGCAATTGTTTATGTCTCTCTTTTCCAAAGCTAATGTACAAACAGGATAAATTATTTTAAGAAAATTAAGGAAACACTTTTAAAATAAGCTAATAAAATTGTTTATTGTCCATATTTGACTCAGAAAAGGTTTATAAAATTTTTTAATTTTCAAATACAATTCAAAATATAAATACTTTAATGGAAATTTATTCAGATTTGCATCACAGATACCATATATATTCAAATCACTTTGGATTTAAGAAAAATATAGATTAAATGCTTAAGTAATTGTTCAAAAATACCTGAAATGGTTCCCAAATACGAATAAAAATTCACTAACAGTGAGTTATAATTAAAGAAAATTTTGTAAGACATTCTCACTTGCTAAAAAAAAAAAAGGCTGAGAATGAATATTCGATCTTTTAAAAGGCGTCTTTTCAAAGAAAGAATTTAATGACGTGTCCCTTTAAGTGATGAGCACCAATCTTACAGTTATACTAAAGACAATTTTAAGTTATAAAAACTTAGGTACAGTTTTAAAAACCTAAACATGCTCCATTTATAAGTATCAATCTAAACATGCTCCATTTATAAGTATCAATCTATTCCAACAGTAACTTAAAACTGCTAGAATAATTAAAACTTGCATTTTAAAATTACAAATGTTTTAAAAGATGGCTGAAGTAAATAACAAATGAGCTGATCTTTTAAAGTAATCACTAGACAATTACACCAAAACAGTGTATTTGACAATAAGAATTAAATCAGGAATGAAAAGTTCAAAATAACTTATCACTCTAAAGAGCATAGTCCAAATGCAGGGTTTTTACAAAATTCAAAGAATAATATTAGTATTGTGTTACCTAAAATATCAATAAAAAGGTAATAAAATAAACCTTTAAAAAATTATTTATTCTCAACTCTTTTTCAGTTGAAGGACCTATAAATAAAAGAAGCACTATAAATAATATTTTATTCTATAGTACAGAGTACTCACCAACTGTTTACCAATCCAATCATATTCATAATCAAACATATATCCTTTTCGATCAAATAAATCAGTAAAAAGCTTTCTTAGGTAGTCATAGTCTGGTTTTTCAAAAAAATCTAGCCTTCTTACATAACGAAGATATGTTGCCATTTCTTCTAGAAAGGAAATAAAAATTATTCTGATTATACTTTCCTAGATACTCATTAATAAAAAATTATTTAAATGTCTAAAAGCACAGTATTATAAAAACAGAAATGTAACAAAATTCTATTGCAATTAAAAAATTTTTAAGTCTAATTACAAAGAAATAAATGAAAGGAAAAGAAGAAAGAAAAATAGAGATAAAAGAGAAATGACAAGTTTAATTTAACAAACTATTTTTGCTATACTTCATTAAGAAAGGCTAAAAGTTTTATTTTACAAATATTTTAATAAACACCTTGGCAAGTATTAGAGGTTGAATTAACAACTTAATGCATGATTATTTAATAACGAAGCATCATACTCAGCTCATAAATTTTAAAAATTATTAAAAATATTGGTGAGAATTGATTTATATATGAAAGCATTTATACAAACTTGCTAGATTCCTTTGGAATCAGTGACATACACTAACTGACCAAGAGAGGATTCAAATTCCTAACTTTGGCTATGAGCAGTATTCTAACCAATTAACCTAGCAAAAAAAGTTAAAACAGATCTCAGAAATATAATACAGGAGCACAGTTTGATTATTCTTTCAATTTCTGGTCATATAATTAACAATCGTTTGGTAATATATAAATCTCACATGCCATTATACTTCCCAAATGTATTAGATATATACATATATCTTTTAAAAGGTCACACTTTCCAGAAGGAAAAAGCCATAAAAATCAACAGGCAAAATAGTGAGCAATGAGAAAAACAGTGTTTTACCATGAGGACACACAAAATAAATTACTGTAATAAAAGATGGTAGATTACAACTTAGCTGCTTTTCTGATCCAATTCATTCATGGTAGACAGTAAGAACAGGATTACGCACAGCCCAATGGGCAATGAAAAGTGGCACCCAGTGACCTTCCTCAAATGGTGACTCACTATTCTACTTTCTAGCTAAACATCTGGTTAATTTACTTTGCCACCTTCATTTTTCCTGCAGAAATTTGTAACAAGCAGCCAATATGCCTAGACCTAAAATGGCTAGTACTATCAATCAATATAATCTTTTAATCTTCTAGTTCTAAATTAAGAAAAATATATAATTAAAGCTTGTTGTCAATGAATAATATAATAATATAGCAAACTTGAGAACGAGCTATCAGAGATTATACTGCTGATATTACAAAATAATGCCAGCATCGTATAGGAGAACCTGTGACTATCAAAGTGAGATATGAATTCAGTCTTCTATCTTCAAGATTGGTTCTCTTTTTAATGTTATTTCACAAATCACAGCACGTTATTTTAACACATTAGCAATACATTCTTAGGAATCTTAAGTAAATTTATGTTGGCTTAATTTCAGTTGCCAAAAATCTCCACAAAAGCAAAACTGTTTTCATAAAGCCCTCCAATATAAAATTAGCCTAAAATAGTAAGGGTAGTAAAGATTTTATATACTTTGAAAACTAGACTAAACTCCTTTGAGTTTGACACTGAGACTCAAATGAATAAGACTGCACACCAAAACTTTATAGTTGGTAATTCTTAGCAAATATATTAACTTATTAAAAGTATGTTATTGAAGAAAATATTACTTTATCTGGCATTGGTCAACACTATTAAAAGATGGGATTTTCTTCTATTAACACCATCTTACAAAGCAAGTAAACAACTTGCCTCTGTGGTCTATGCACCAAATGCTGACATCTTTTAAATCATACTTTGAGCTCATTTTTTTAAAAACATAAAGTATTTATAGACTTAACCACTGAGTATTAACGGTTCTGGTTTTCTATATAACCATATGTATTAATGTGGCATTATTCATTACCTGGAAAATTTTCACATAACACTTCTATTGGTGTGGCTCGTTTTGTATCTCCAATCTTCTGATACCTCTCTTTTAATGTGTCAGCCTAAAACAGAAAGAAAAAAATCTTGAGAAGGTGGTAATTTTAAAATTAAATACTTATAAGAGAAGCTCTTAATATATTAATTTATGAAGTTCAATAAGGAAATACAAAAACAATTACCTTTAAACCTTGCCAAGGAAGACTGCCTCTCAGAAAATACATGAACATATGACCTAAAGCTTCTAAGTCATCTCTTCTACTTTGTTCTGAAATATAAGAGAAACATAAATTTCACTTTCTTCTCCTAGTCATGCAGGAATGAAGAACTAATTCTTTTGTTATGTATCAATTAATTCCCAAAAGTTCAGTATATAAACATAAAATACAGATCTAGTGCTTATCAGTGACAAAATTATGTTTAAATAATGCTTTTACATTAAAATTATCATACATTTTTAAAATATGCCATTATTTTTTTTAGATGCTATTGGGGATTTATATCTCTCCTTAGATATCTATTCAAAGAAATATAAGGCAAGGGGAAAAGAATTCCATAGTCAAGATTCAGAATGTAACACATTAAAGGTTCAGAAAAAGACTAGTTTTTCCCTAAAATGTTAACCCTAAGTTAACCTGAAATGTTAAGCATTAAAAATGTTTATCTTGATTTAACCTTGTATTTTCTAAACTTATAAGCACAAAACTTCTATGCCACATAATCTTAATTAATTTTAAACACAAGTAAAAAAAAACACTCATGTTTGATACATCCCAAAATTATTAACCCCTTCCAAAATATACTGCTAGAACTATCATTTTCAAGTTGCTATTGTGGTTTTAGTAACAAAATGTTACATAGCACATAATTAAATAACAATCACAGACTAAAACACAGGGAGATATTTGCAAATATTTGCTGAATGAATTTTTTTCAACTTTTTGTCACTGAAGTTAAATGCTTAAGATTTTTTAATATTTTTAAATAATTAAAAATGCTCACAAAAGGAAAAAATACTTTAATAAAAGGATGTTCATGTGCAAGATATACAAATGAATAATATACTGTCTAAGCAGTACTAAATGCTTTCAGAAAAAGCAAGCTTTTCAAAGAATGGATCTGAACTAGGGTCAAAACTCTGAAAAGGTTTTTTACTATATAATCTCATAACATTCTATAATTGCCTTCTGTAACACTTGCTACAGTTCAAAAATATATGTTTGCGTTATTATTTAATCAAAATCTATTCTCCCACCAAACAGCAAGTCACATGAGGGCAGATGTCTCTTTGGCTCATTATCCTTGAGACCTAGTATAATGGCTGCCACAGAGCAGGCACTCAACACATACTATTTAAATACATAAATGAATATTTGGTGGAAATATATAGTACCAGATATATGCCTCTTTTCTATAAGCATAGGAAAATATCTAGAAGAATATGCACCAAATCATTAATAATCAGGGATATGATATTGGAGGACTAGACAGGATATTTCAATTTCTCACTTCGTCCACTCAAATGTAGTAATGGGAAATTTTTTTCTTATATTTTGTATTATAACAACATAATCATATGTTATTAAAAACAGTAAATTTTCAAAATAAGTAAAATAGAATTAAAGTTTTTTAAAGCCATTAATAAAAGTGAATGTGAATAACATTTAAATAATCAGTAATGCCTTTTGTAACTAAAATTACACAATTTTATTAGGTCCTGAGAGTATTAAGAATGAAAAGTCATGCAAAGAAAAAAAAATCATTTCTGGAGTCCTGCTGAGAATCAGAATCACCTCTGAAACTTTCAAAAAACCTCAAAAGAGCAGGCCTAATGCTTGAGATTAGTTCCTTGGGTATGACATGAGACAGAATAATGTACATTTTAAAAAGTTTAGCAGATAATTCTGAAGCACAGTCAGATTTAATAAGCACTAAAATAGAAACTTCTTTCATTGAAGTATAATTTACATACAATAAAATACAATTATAAGGGTACAGTTTGATGAACTTTGACAACATACACACCTAAGTACCACCAAAATCAAAAAGTATTTCCAACACTCCAAAAGGTTCCCTTATGCCCCTTGCCTGTTATTCTCTCCCTCCACTGGCCTCAGCTACTTATCTGCTTTCAGTCACTCTATATTCAATATGATTTTTTAAATAGAGTTTCACATAAATGGGATCATACAATATGGATCCCTGTGTCCTGTGTTCTTTTCACTCAGTAATGTTTTCAAGATTCATCCATGTTGTTGCATGCATTGATAGTCCATTACTTTTTATTACTAGGTAGTATACCACAATATATTTATCAATTTGCCTAAGTAGGACTTTGAATAACTTCCAGTTTGGGGCTATTGAATAAAGCTGTTATGAACATTCTTGTAAAAGTCTTTGTGTGGACATATGTTTTCATTTCTCTTGGGTAAATATGTAGGAGTAGATTATTGTGTCATACAGAAAGTGTTGGTTTAACTTTATAAGAAACTTCTACATTGCTCTCCCAAGGTGTTGTACCATTTTATTTTTCCACCAGCAATGTATGAGCATTCCAGTTGCTCCAGAGCCTATTCAACATTTAGTACAGTCAGTCAGTCTTTCAAATTTTAGCCATGCTAGTGGCCGTGAAGTGTGATTTAATTTAAATTTTACTGGATACTAATGTTTTTGAACATTGTTTCATGTGTTACTACTGGTCATTCATACATCTTTCTGTGAAATGTCTGTTCAAATATTTTACCTATTTTTTAAAATGTATTCTTTGTTTTATTATAAAGTTTTAAGAATTATTTGTACATTCTGGATACAAGTCATTTTCAGATATAATATTGCAAATACTTTCTCCCATACTGTAGCTTGCTTTTTTGTTTTCTGAACAGTATCTTTCAAAGAACAAAAGTCTACATTTTGATGAAGCTCAATTTATCAGGGATTTTTCTTTTATTATTGATGCTTTTTTATATCCCATCTAGAAAAATCTTTGACTACCCTAAAGTCACAAAGACTTTTCTTCAAGAAATTCTACAGTTTTGATTGTTACATTTAAATAAACCTATGATTCATTTGAAATAATTTTTTTTCTTTTTTGTTTTTGGTATGGGGTAAAGGTTTAGATTCATTTTTTTCAACACTGAAATCTAGTCGTTCTCACAGTTTCTTTTATAAGATTATCCTTTACAATTATTTTTGTACCATTCTCAAAAATCAATTGAGCATCTATGTTTGGGTCTATTTCAGGACTCTCTGTTCTGACTCATATATGTCTTTCCAATACTACCCAAAATAAGTAAAAGGAGAAAATAAAAAAATGAGGAAACCAATGATGAGAAAATGAACAATCAATAGAGAAAACCATCAAAATTTAAAAAAACTGATTATTTGAAAAATTCAATAAAATTAATCCTCTCACTAGGCTAAAAGAAAAAAAATACACACGAAGTACCAGTATCAGGAGCAACAAGGAAGCAACAGACAATCCTACAGACATTAAAAGGATGATAAAGAACTAACATTATGCCAATAAATTCAACTTAGATGAAATGGGCAAATACCTTGAAAGCTACAAATTACCAAAACTACCTCAAGAAGAAAATGTGAAGAGCTCTACCAATTAAATAAATTTAATTTATAATTTAAAATCTTCCTAAAATATAACCCATGGCCCAGATGGCATCACAGGTGAATTCTATTGAACAGTTAAGAAACAATACCGATTCTACATAAGCTCTTTCAGAAAGTAAAAGAGATGACAATTCTTAACACATTTCATTACCCTGTTACCGAAATCGGACAAAGGCATTACAAGCCAAGAAAACTATAAAAAATATCCCTCACTAACAGATTCAAAAAAAAAAAAAAAAAATCCTTAAAAAGATAATACACCATGACTAAGTAGGGTTTACCCTATGAATATAAATCATATGGTCATCTCAACAGATATAGAATAAATACTTGAGAAAATATGTATTTACAATAAAAAAAAAAACTCTCATCAAATAAGGAATAGAAGGAACTTCTTCATTCTGACAAGGGACTTCTATGAAAAACTTAACAACTAACATAATTCTTACATGGGGAAAGGCACCCCTAAGATCAGGAACAAAACAAGAATGTTCACACTCACATTTTCTATTCAGTGTTGTACTAGATGTTCCTGTTAGTACCAAAAGAGCAAGAAAAAAATTAAAAGGTATTCAGACTAGAAATGAAGAAGTGAAACTATTTTTCTTTGTAGACAATATGATTGTATTGTAGAAAATCCCAAATAATCTACAAAAAAAATCTAGAACTAGTAAGTGAGTTTCAGCAAAGTTATAGGATGCAAAGTCAATATATAAAAATCAAATGCATTTCTATACTAGCAATAAACAACTGGAAAATGAATTTTAAGAATACCATTAAGAACAGTATCAAAAAACAAGAAACATGCAGGGATAAATTTATCAATACATATGCAAGACTTGCATATTATAGCATATTGTATATTATAGTTTAAAAGATTAAATGATATATAAATATTGAGCTCCACAGTGGGGTTCTTTGTTAAGAAGAGAACTCAGTATAAAAGTAATTCTTCCTTTGAATTCCATCCAAGAAGTACTTTAGTTATCACAGTGTCAACAAGCCATGATCATATAATGATCTTGTCTATATGGTTATCTCAGATAAAAGTATTACTTTCACTACTTATACAGTATATAAAAATTCAATACATAAATATAAGTTAGTTAAATAAACCTACTACTAAAACCCAGTCTGAAATACTCCTTATCCTTAAAATTCATTTGTCTCTCACCTTCTGACAAATCCAGAAGTAAATTTTACCTCATAAGGAATGCTTTCTCTTTGAAACACAAGTCTTTAACAGTTCTGTTACATGAAAAATAAATCTCCCAAAGGCAATTTTTTGGCCCTTAATAAGCCCTAATCACATCTTTTTAAGCACTTAACTACAAAGGCCTGTTTGAAAATGGATGTTTTCCTCAAAGCCAAGAATCCTTATTATAGAGAACTTTGCTATGAGCAACTAAGAAAATCAAAAAGTGGTCTTAAAGATTCATTTAAATAGGTTCTATAATAAATGTAAGAGTTATGCAAAGAGTTGACAGAAATTTTGCCACAAGCAAGACACATTAAGAGCCTAGTGTGTGTCAGTGCTTCATACACATAATCTTTTAAAATTATAGCTACACTTAAAGTAGGTATCAGTAATTCCAAATAATTAGGAAACTAAAGCTCAGAAAGGTTTAGTGACTAGCCCAAAACTATGTACCTAAAAAGGTAAAGGCATAATTTCAAAACACATGTCTGTACTTTTCTCATTTCAGGAAAGCAAGGTAGAACCAATCAATAAATCAAATGTTAGCTGATAACCTTTGGCAATGCTTTTCAATTTTAAAATTTTACTCTTGTATCTCAACACCTTTTTTTTTTTTTTTTGCTTTTTAAAACTGATTTTATTCCTCACTTGCCTAGCAGTTTCCATTTCAATTGAATTTCAATTTTCAACAACAGAAAAATAGTCCCTTCTTCATTAATCAAACTTATTCCTATCAAAAAAATACATTAAATGCCTAAGCAGCAAAAAACTTTCAAATATACACATGTATATTTCCAAACAGTAAACTTAAAGCTGCATTCTCCTTCAAAAGTGAAAAACATTGAGGCCAAAATATATGTTAGTTAAACTAAATACAGGACTGACAAAGAAGCTCAAACAACAAAAATTCTCCCTGACAAAACTTGGAATCATTCTTTTCAAATAAACAAAAAAATAAAAACAAAAATTACTATAAGTTAAAGTTTTACTTTATATTTCCTTCTAAAATGTTAAAAGTTACTTTCCCTGACACTCCACAAAAAACAAAACTACTCTTCCTCAGAATTCATTGAGCTAATTTACAGTTTTCAAAATTACATAATCAACGTGGGTTTTTAAAAAATAAGAATATAAATCTAAGAGAGAAAAGAAAAAGGACAATTACACAAAACACTTTGCAGCAACAACTCACTAATCAAGATACTTAATCAGCAATATCAAGAACTCAAAAAGTTTCAAAAAAAGAATCTGAGCAATGGAACCCAGTTTCTTTCAAAACTATTCTTACAATACAATCCAGCATTACAATCCTTGCTATTTACCCAAAGGAGTTAAAAACTTATGACCACACAAAAACACACATAGATGTTTACAGTAGCTTTAATTGTAAGTGCCAAAAGCTGGAAGCAATGAAGATATCATTCAATAGGTGAACAGATAAATAATCTATGGTATCTCCAGACAACAGAATACTATTCAGCACCAAAAAGAAATGAGCTATCAAGCCATTAAAAAAAAAAAAAAAAAAAAATGGAGGAATCTTAAATGTATATTACTAAGTGAACTAAGCCAGTCTGAAAAAAGTGAACACTAAGAATGAACCCTAAAGTAAACTATGGACTCTAGGTGACAATGATGTGTCAATGTATATATATCAATTATAACAAATGTACTCCTCTAGTGAGGAATGTTGATAATGCGTTAGTATGCATGTGTGGGAATGGGGGTATAAGGAAAATCTCTGCATCTTCCACCTAATTTTGCTAAGAGTCTAAAACTGTTTTAAATACCAATTATGTTCACCATACTCTGTTTAAGAAAGTAAGGAATTGTGAAAATACATTTTTAAACTGTTAAAATGTAAATACATGTTTTTAATCTGTTAAAAAGTTGTTTGGGAGGCTTACAGTAGCAGGCTCAGGAATCTGGGCAATTAACCTAGAAATTATAAGAAGCACAACACAGAACGACAGCACAGAAAGAAGGTATTTCTGTACATAATTCTGTGATTCTTTCTCTCCTATTCAGAAAGCTTACCTCACAGAGGCTTGAAATATTCTTCTATGTAACACAGATTTTTATTAACACTTGCAAAGCAACTAGCAACGTATTTCACAAATCCTAGTCTCTTTATCCATGAATATTCAATGTAATTAAAAAATAAGACTTTTTTTTTTCAAGACAACTTACTATAGAGTATTAATTTCAAATAACTTCAACAAGAGAAGATATAAAAGGGGGAAAAAAGTGATCCAAAGGATGATTATAAAATGAGGTTCAAAAAAGTCTTTAAAAAGATATTAAAAAGAAGGCAATTAATCAGACACAATTTAAAAAATTCACTATGATAATACTAAAGAAAGCATCCATTAAAGCAGATCAAAGAAATCTGCATCTGTCACAAATAGCTTTAATGAGATGTCACCTTAAACAGTGACTTAAGCAGGTATGAAAAAGGTATACAAGTGAATTACTACATAAATCGCCTAGTTATAATCAATATATACCACAAGAATAAAGATGCTAAATTCCACAATTTATTCAAAATTTTGTTATTTTTCCTGAAAAAGGAGTAGAAAGAGATTAATGCAATAGTTAAATGCCATTTCCCAAGCTTTGAAGGCTTTTCCTAACAGGGACAAATACATCAGATTCACTTTGCCATTTCTACAAATAGAATGCTGTTACATTTACCACTGTTCAGATAAAGAACAATAGGCCATAAGGAAGTTATGACTTCATGTCTCACAATATTATGGTGGTGAACCACTGTTGCTATAAAATAGTCCATTAACAACTACCATGAAATGAAAATTTCTCATAGACACTGGTCATGTAAATATAGGTGTGCCTGGTTTTAATAGAAGACACAATCCTGAAAGTTGTATATCTCCCCAATCATATTTTAGATCTATCAGGAAAGTCTGCTACTAAAAGGCACTCTCCAAATACCCCAATCATATTTTAGATCTATCAGGAAAGTGTGCTACTAAAAGGCATTCTCCAAATACCACCTGAACACAACTTGTGCTGCTTTATAATTTTAAATGTCTGAAACTTACTTTTCTTAAAAAAGGGCAAATTTACATTTTCAGGCATTTTCTAACATCTTAAAGGAAAGATACCATAAGCCTACTATCAGGCAAGCTGTCAGGGGAGATGCCAAGTTCTATTTAGTTCTGACTGAGAGGCAGAAACAGGGACATATAGAATATAGCAGATAAATCTAGGGAGAATAGTTAGAAAAGAAGCTAAGACCAAGAATTGGAGGTTAAATTAGAAGATGTGTAAGGTCCCGTACAAATTATGATCATATATTGTAAGGTACATTTGAGCAGTGATGATGGATAAATAATAATGGGTTTAAGTTCCTGTCTATTCTCTCTTGCAAGTGAGATGTCAGGGATAGACTCTAAAAGCAGAAAATTAAGTTCAGCTTCCTCTGATATGAAAACTGACTGTGGCTTAAGACTTAAGAATGAACTACTGTAAATACAACCTAGAACTGATTGTTTTTATAAAGTCACAAAAATAATTCAATGGGAAAGAATATAATACCATAAAAAGAACCTCGAACCCTATCTCACACCATAAAAAAAAAATTAATTCTAGGTGGTATAAGAAAACATAAAATGTCTTCAACACGTGGCAGGTAAAGTCATGAACCACAGAGGAAGGCAAGGAACTGTTCCAGATGAAAAGAAACTAAAGAGATATGAAAAATAAATGAAATGTATGATTTTGGACCAGGAAAAAGAAAGCTATAAAAAACCCTGTGAGGTTCCTATTATTTTATCCTCTATAAAAATAGGAAACCCAAAGTCACACAGCTCGTACGTAGTAAACAGTATCATCAAGGTACAGACTGTTAGTATTAAATGTATTAGGCACGTTGGTAGCTCCTTAGCTAATTGTAGCAGAGAACTACAGTCTCAATCAAAAAACTTCATACACTAAATTCAGTTAGAATTAAGTATTCTCTCATATTCTTTAACAGAAATAATCAAATGTGTCTCCCTAACTATATCAGCTGAATGTTTCAAGATACAATGAGTAAGGATATCTGTCATTCATTTACAGTAGAGCAACTTACTTTTAAAGTGTTTTATTAAATATAAATGAAAGTAAACTCTGGCTAGACATGATAAATAAAAATTACAATATAAGCAATTGTAACCTGCAAAAACTGAACCATAATAACAAACAAAAACTCACATTGTTGTTAGCATAGTTACTGAATTTAAGCTTCAGTACTTACAAAAGGTACACATACCTTTTCCTAAATGTGTGTTTATGCTCATATATCTAGCTGTTCCCGTAAGGCTCTTGTGTTCTCTGTATGGTATGTGTTTCTTTGTCTCTGGATCAATGTATTCCTTTGCCAAACCAAAATCTATAATATGAATAACTTGCTGGGTTTTATTTCCTGGTCGTCCTATTAAGAAGTTCTCAGGTTTTACATCTCTGTATATCAAGTTCTTTGAATGGACATATTCCATGCGAGAAATCTTGATTTGGAAAAAATAAAAGATAAATTTTATTTTAGGCTTTAACTAGCATTAAAAAGTATGACAGAAGCAAGATAGACTTTTCACAATAAAAACATTAAAAAATTCAGAAATTGTTTCAACCTTTTAAAAGTTTCTCAAATATATCTGATTATAATTTAAAATCTTTGCTTTTACTATTATAGTCATTTATGAATGAAAGTGTTTGAATTTTATGAATTCCATTCATATTAGTAAGCTTGATTCAATCAACACTTTCAGATGATTCTTCTTCATAAAATCAAAAAGCTTTACCGACACAAAATTTTGAACTCAAAAGTATAAACAGACATATTCATAAAGTTAGTTTATTCTTCCTTATCGCTTCAATAATAGAGCAACTTTTACAATTATATTTAAAAAACTTAAAGAGTCTAAACTGTTAAATGAAAACTTTTTAACAGAGCACCCTTCAGTATATCTTTTTTCTTTTATATAACTGTACTTTTTACCTTACGTATTAAACATTTAAAAAAGATCTTGAACCTAAAAAGTTTTGGAATATAACTCTAATTATAATACTGTACATTTAATTAATTATTTCTTTTACATGTTCTCGATCACTGTACAAAGTCTAAACTGTTAAATGAAAACTTTTTAACAGAGCACCCTTCAGTATATCTTTTTTCTTTTATATAACTGTACTTTTTACCTTACGTATTAAACATTTAAAAAAGATCTTGAACCTAAAAAGTTTTGGAATATAACTCTAACTATAATACTGTACATTTAATTAATTAGTTCTTTTACATGTTCTCAATCACTGTACAAACTGTTGCAAAACAAAACATTACAAATAAGAAAATAAAATTGTTTCATTTAGTGATAACCATAGTTGACAATGCAATGTAAACATTTAGTCACTCAGGTTATTTTAGTTTGTTAACAAATTCTAAATCATTTTATAACATATAATATTATATGACTTATATTTTTAATTAATGATACATTATGAGTATTTTCCAGGTCATGTAACATTCTTTTAATACATACTTTTTAATGGCTACATATTGTTTTATGGGTATTAACAATTTATTCAACTAACCCTGTTATTTCTGAACATTAGGGTTGTTTCCCACTTTATTACAAACATCCTTACACAAAAAGCTTTAAATACATCTGAACACTTTCATAGGATAAGTTTATAGAAGGAGAATTAATGAGTCAATGGATAAAAACTTAAAGACTTCTGCAGCATACACCTATTGGCATTTATTTCAAAACTGCCTTCCAATCATCCTCTAAGTTGTTTCCCCATAGGTTCTCTGAAATTTAAATAACTTATGAGATTCTCTCATAAGTTTGTTTCCTCTTTTTCTCAGCCATTGGAATTTATTACCAAGATTTAGAATCCATATTTTGAAGGTTCTCTTTTCTAAGTATTCATCTTCCAAATGAAGAGTGCTGGAAACAATTCTCAAACTGTATGTTCTGATCCTAAAGTAATAAGATATCAATTTATTCATACAAATAAAAACACCTGATTTAGTTATTTAAGTTATATTCTCCTAAAAAGACAATGATATGAAAAGAGAAACGTTTTTATTAGGTCAAATGCTCTGAAAGATAATGTCACAAAACTTTAAACTTTTAATATAAATTTGTGACCAAAGAAACACACAATTGTTCAAACAATTTCAAATCGTCCTGCTTTACTTACCAGTTGGATAGCTATCATGAGAACTGTTTTAAGAGAAAATGTTCGGTCACACAAGTCAAACAAATCCTCCAAACTAGGTCCCAGCAGTTCCAGCACCATAGCGTTGTATTTACCACAAGGACCAAAATAGTAAACTTGAGGTATACCATCTAGGGGAAAAGAAAAAGCAGTTTCATAATATCTTTATCTTCAATATCAAACTTTTCTTCCTAGAAAATCAATAAACAATACTTTTTTTTTTAATTTTATAGTTTCAAGAATTATAGCAGTTTTTACTTTTCCACACGATAAACTTTTCCTGACCCAGCCTTCTCACTGATGTTCACAGTGTAGCCTGGTTACACCTCTAGGGCAGCTGCAGGATTGAACTGCATTACAGACAGTGCTTCATTGTTGGTCTCTTCCACCTCATCATAGACAGGAAATGGACATTTTGGTCTTATATTTCCATTACCTAGAGAAATGCTTGGTACTTAGGAAAGATCTGAATTTTATTGAACAAAGGAGTCAGTGTTCTCTTTAATAACCTCATGTAGGGATAATGCTAAAATCACCCTTCCAAATTCCCATCCTCTGGTGTACACACCCTGTATAGTCCCTTCCCCCTAAGCATGGGCAATATTCTCAGATTTCACTCTTGTGAACAGGTTATGCTATATGGCAAAGGTGATATAATTATTGCCCCTATCGGTAGACTTTAACCAAAAGGGAGGTTATTCTGGTGGGCCTGACCTAATCAGGTAAGCCTTTTAAAAAGATGGTCCAGAAGTCAGATATTCAGAGCAGCAAGGAAGCTCTCCTGTCAGCTTTACAGAAGCAAACTACCAGGGAATGACCTAGGAACTGAGGTCCTTGGTCCCATAGCCACGAGGAAGTGAATTCTGGGACTAACCAGAGAGCCTGGGAGAGGACTCTGAGCCTCAGGTAAGACTGCAGTCCAGATTTACGTCTTGATTTCAGCCTGGTAAAACTCTGAATAGAGGATCTAGCTAAGCCATGCCTCGACTCCTGACCCATGGAAATTGGGAGATAAGTTTCTTGTTCTATGACACTAATTACTAAATAATTCATTATTCAAAAATATAAAATAATACGAACTCCAAATATAAAGTCTAACTGCACAGAATCATCAGTATCTTCTTTTTTAGAACTAAAAGACTCTCAACAAACATAAAATAGGTGATCAATATATCTTACCTTTGCATTTATCTATTTATTTGTCTCGAGAAAATGAACTTCTATCTTAAATGTCTTGGTTTTACTTCCAAGTGGTTTGGTTTTTTTAGAAAGAAAAAAGAAGTCTTTTGAAAATATCATAAAACTTTTCCATTCTTTTTAAAATAGTTTAGGGAACATAACTTCATTCTTACTGTTTACTCTTATCATTTTGAATATTAAAACAGAAAACATTGAACTAGAAGCCAGGTCAACTAGGTTCTCAGCTTGTCCTAAGAGTAACCAACCATTCAACCTCTCAAGTAGGCTTCAGTTTGCTCATTTATCATATTAGTAGTTTAGATAAGACCAGTTTTTCTCAAATGTGAATGAGTGAAGAAGCAAAACATCTGCGGATAAGGAGGTAAGATAATATAATCATGGCGGGAGGAGAACAAGTTTAAATTGCATACATTGCTATCCCCTCTCCAGAAATAGATTCTCATACACCCCTCCATGTGTATATGTCAGCACCCCCACCACAAACACACACATACACCATACACCCCTCCATGTGTATATGTCAGCACCCCCACCACAAACACACACACATACACACACACACACACACACACACACACACACACACAATTTCCCTCTGCCACTGGGAATTATTATCTTCATCTGAGCCACCCTTCCCTTACCAGAGCCATGCTTGTCATATGTGTGTCAGATCTACCCCTCATATGTGTAAAAGCAGAAAAAGAAGTTTAGAAATTGTGGATGAGAGGCTCACTAAACTTTATTCCAACTCTGAAATACTGTTTTTACTATGCTATGTACATTAAGAGCTTGGCGTAGAAATTAAGACTTATCAAGAGCTCTCAGCTACTAAACTTTTAAAATAATTTCTACAATGACTATTTTCCACTCTAGACCACCGAAAGTTGTTAATTTACTAAAAATTAACAGGTGATTTCCGCTTTCTCTTTTATATTTAAAAAAATTTTCCAAATTGTTATGAGAAATATATGCTGTTTTTGCAATCAGGAGTAAAAATGCACATTTAAAAATTCTTCAGGGATCACAAAGAAAAACTTGAATTAGAAAAAGATGTAGACCAAATTTATTTAATCCATGTATTAATTTTAACTGAGCTAGTATTTCTCAAACACTCTCCACAATATTTAGTTACATAGCCTTACTTCTAATCTTAACCATTAACTTCATTTTGGGGTACTTAAGAACAAAGCAAAGTATACTATTCAGATTCTGTTGCTCTATAAGTTTGACTTCTCCCCTCTCACCATACCTCCCTAACAAAAGGAACAGATCCACTCCAAGGCCCAAATTTACTTTGCCTCACTTGGTTTGAGCTCTTCTAAGGCTACATTCCAAAAAATTTCTACCTTGGTTCTGCCACCCAAGTAGGTAAACTTTAATTTCTATTTAACTTTCAAGTCTTCTCTTTTTAAGCTATCTCATTAAGCATGACCCTCATTCATAATTCTTCACACATTATTTCTGATAGCCAAGAAGAGGTATGCATAAGTAAATTTGCTCTGCTATACTTCATATAAGCCAACTCACTATTGGGAGGAGAATTACTGTGTACCTAACATGCACATTCAATCAAGCTATATACATACTATACCTTTGGGTTTCTAAAATAACATCGTGAAAAAGACCAGTAAAGGGACAAAAAGAAACTACTTCACTTTTCTCTAAAATGTCCTTTCTTTAATGGTTTCAAAGTATCTCAAAATTATGTATCTCTATTTTACGGGCCAATTCCATGAACAGCATTACAATTCACTGAGTAAATTAAACAGACACTTAGCCTCCAATTTGAATGAAAATATCTCAACTTTACCATACAACATAATTTTACTTGAAAATATGACTCAGTATAGATCTTCGGTGAAAGAAAAGAACGAAAGAAAGAAGAACAAAAGAAAGAAGAACGAACGAACGAAAGAAAGAGAGGGAGAGGAAGGAAGGAAGGAAGGAAGGAAGGAAGGTAGGTATTTTTCTAAATGACTCCTGAGATATACTATTTTATGAGTCAATGAATGCAGAAAATTCTTAGATAACTATTAATAATGTATTTTGACACAAATTTTGGCACTGAGGTAATAGACTTACTTTTTTTTAAATCAAGAATGTAAAACAAACACTGTAAAGACCAAACTAAAATTTGTAAAGGCTCAACTAGAATTTCTTTTCCATAACAAGTCTCAGTAGTTTTCTAACACTGAGAAAGCAAATTAAATTGTTAAGAGTTAGGAAAACTTGCAACTAACAAGCTAGGGAGTATCCTACACATAAACAAAACAAAACAACTACAGCATTAAAAATATGGTAATCAAGATCACAAGGAAAAGTGTTTTTGGAAGGGAGAGAAGTGAGAGAAAAGAGAGTAAGAGAGAAGAGAGAGGCTCAGAATGAAGGCTTAGAAGGCAGAGCAACAAAGGTACTAAGTTATTAGTTTTGTCTCTTGATCAAAGTATTTGGCTACTGAATTACATGGATGTGATCCAACTCATGGGCAAAAGCAAGCTTTTGTATTTGTTCTTATATCCAGTGAATTTTCAACTATAAACTTTTACTCCACCCAATTCTAATTGTTCTAAAATTATTTTTGAGACTACTATAAAAAGCCATCCATTGTGAATTCAAAGTTAGTTCTGATCATTTCTAACATCACTAATTTTCAGGGATGCTTATTAGCATCTCTAATTTTCAAGACAAGCATATTTTTTTTCCCCAAGAAAAGCTCAAGAATGGGCATGAATACAAAATTCACATATTATCTGAAAATACAGTTTTACCCTTATTCTCCCAAAATTAATTTTACTAAATACTTCATTTTATATTTCAATATTCCATTTAAGTGACAAAACAACATTAATTCATTTAAGTCACAAAACAACTTTAGGGGGTCTAACATTCTTAAAGAGTGTTTAGTACTTTGTGTTCCTTATAGGTGGGCAAGAGTTAGGCATACATGAAATTAAAAGAAATATCACAATGTTTCTTTCCATTTTCAGGTCCAGTAGTATTTATGTAGGAAAGATTAGAACAAAAGAACTGGTATTCTTATTAGGAAATTTAAACTTCAGAGATCTGGTTAAGAAAATATAAAATCTCATTAGAAATATTAAGTACAGAATCATCACATGGCTATGTTCTTTTCCAAGGAAGTTTTGCTTTAAAGCATTCTTAACTTTTAGTACAAATGCATATAGGTACTCCTAGTTTAGCAATGCTCAACATAAATCTGGAGACACTTGGGGACAGGGGTGGGTGGTCCCTGAGACTTAATTTTTAGGAGGTCAGTGACAACAAAATTATTTTATAATTAATTATAAATAACACTAACACATTATTTACCTTTTTCACTCTGTTCTCACAAGTGAACACATTTTCCAGAGGCTACACAAGCTGTGATATACGACAAAGGACTGAATGCAGAAGACATCAGAATCTGTTTTCTATTGATCCAGACATCAAAGAGATATGTAAAATATCTAAAACATGGCCACTTTTCTCACATTTTTTTATTTGAAAAATACAGTTGTGATTTTAAAATATTATATTTAAATAAATTAATTTAGTAAGATTTTTATATTTGTTTTAATTTCTCATATGGTAACTTCGATAGCTATAATCCACAATAAGAAAAGTTCTCTGGGACCTTCAAAAAGTTTTAATAGTATAAAGGATGCTGAGACCCAAAAATTTGAGAATTGCTGCCCTACTTGAATAATAAGCTCTGATATGAACAAACAGGTACAATGAGTTCCAGACTCGGTAACAATCATTCCATTAAAACACCACAGCACTCACGTTTAGTAGCAAAATTTTACCAATTAACCCCAAATCAAAGGAATAAAGCCACCCCACTGTAAACAAGACACAATCGTCCTTTCTGTGATAATCCTATTTGTACATTTAGAAATTATTCTAAATTTCAGATTTTTGTTAACACCAA